TGAAATACTTGATGGAAGATCTGTGCTTCCAGTGAACCTAAGAGAGAAGACATGTGTAAGTAATGCTTGGCATCTTACTGGATTGCCTTGTAAACATGCCATGAGAGCTATTTTACACTCTAATGAAGACCCTAGGTTCTACATAAGCGAGTGGTATTCTGTCACAAGGTATAAGTTGGCTTATGCCAACTCTATCAAGGTCATACCAAATGTGGAGCAGTGGCCTGACAGTCCTTATCCAGAGATTGGCCCACCAATTAGGAAAAGAGGAATAGGGAGACATACAAGGAATAGAAGGAGGGAAGAGGGTGAGCAAGCCAAAGGGAAGAGGTCCAGAACTGTCAAGTGCAGCAAATGCCAACAGTTTGGCCATAATGCACAAAGCTGCCAAGGTGGCTTGACTTGTAAACAAAAGGTGGCCCTAGATGAAAGCTCTGCAGGTCATACCAACAAAAAACAAACAACCAGGAAGGGAAAAGGGGCATCTATGAGCCAACCTGAACCAGCAACAGTGGCATCACAACCATTAAGAGTTTCACCAAGGAAATAGAGAGCAAAGGGTCCTATCTCAGCATCACAGCCATTAAGAGTCTCACCTAGGTCTAAGAGAGCTAAAGGAGGGGTCTCAGCTTCACAGCCTGCATGATGTTTGTCTTAGGAGTAGATAGATGCAGAAAAGTGCTTATTAATTTTGCTTCTTAGTTGACTGTATGTGTAAAACTTGAAGATGATCTGTTCATGATGTCAAATTCTGTTTTTTTTTTACAAGACATTTAGATTATGGGTTGATTTATTATCAACGTTATTGACTCTTAATGTAGTACCAATTTCATGTGTCAAAAATGCTTGCAAAAATTGAGTAAAAAATGTGTAAAAAATGCTTGCAAAAATTGACAAAAGTAGTACCAATTTCATTCATCATCATGCATTTAACAAACCAAATTACATCAGTTCCATACCTAATACATAACATCCAACATCAAAATTCTACTTCATACTAATACACCAAAGTCATCACTTACAAACAACAAATAACATAATAAAATACATTATCAAAGCAACCTTCACGATTAGTTTGATGAAATTCATCAAATCATCCAGCCTTGAAGTAACACCAGCAACACCACCTTGTTCAACTTCCAATTCATCACCAACCCTTATTATATCCTCCTCCTTCAACCACGCAAAATAATCGCACCCTCTGCACTTGTAAAAGAGTCTTCTATGGTTCTTCGCGGTTCCTGAAATCTTCACAGCAGCCACTTGAGGAGGAGAACAGTCGCAGCGCATATGCTTAACCCAAGAAATCCTATCGTCCATGGTGATTGGCTTCAAGGAAGAAGAAGAACGACTATTCTTCATTGCCTCTTAGACAGAATTTGGGGAAATCGATTTCTAGGGTTCTTACAAAAAGGGGGAAATCGATTTTCATTTATATAAAAAGGGGGAAATCGATTTGGAGGGAAATCAGGTCTGCCATTAGGGTTAAGTTAGTCATTAGATGCTTAGTTAACCACAGTTAAGCTTAAAATGGCTAATTACATGGATTAAGGTTACCATTAACTTAACTTTTTAAAACATAGTCTACCAAAGATATTTACGTTTTTTTTAATTTTACCACTTAGAATTTTAAATAATACAGATCTACCAAAGAGAATTTCCCAATAATTAAATTAAATAAATGTAGATTTAATTTGGTCCAAACCCTCAGTTAATTATAACTTTCACGCCTTGGTTTAAGTATAGAACTTCGGATATTTTATGGACTCCTTGGAGCGCTTAGGGGAAGTATTATGAGAGCATAGGATGACTAGTATTTAGGCTAAAGAGGGAGAATAGAATGATTTGATGATCAAACTTGTTGATGATTGAAAAGGGGGAGATATGACCTCTATTTATAGATAAAAAAAGAAGGGTCGAAAAAATAAGATAAGATCCGAATTAAATCGGAATAAAACTCGATAGACAGCAGTTTAGCGGTTTTTGCTTTTATCATATCTTTTGATCCAGAAATAGGAATAAGATGAATAAGATATCGTTAGAAAGGTCTTGAATTCTACTTTTTAACCCAATTAGAATCCGATTAAAATATTTTATAGAATAAAATATATGGCCGAAATAGTGAGACGGTGTCAGTTTTGGATAAAGTTTGACATTTTATTCATATCTTTTCCGTTATAGCTCGGAATTGATATTATAATATATCATTGGAAAGATAATTTCAAGGGCTATCCAAACATATAAAATTTGGATAAAAAATATGAGGCACGAAAATAATATCTATCTATCTTTGAACGTCTTTCAATTCGGATAAAATTAGGACTTTAAAAAAAAAGAGTTTTATTCAATTTCAAACTCTTTAATCTTATCTTTTCAAAAAGGATAATTAAGATCTTTTATAAACTTATAGAAGTTTCTAATTAATCCTAATTGTTTTAGGAATTGGATTAAATCATTTAGACCCTCCACATGATCATTGGGTCGTAGGTAAGGTGGGCTTATGTTCGGGTTGGGCTCAGTTTAATATTTTGGCCATAACTTATTCGTTATAACTCGGATTTGGGCATATAATCTATCGTTGGAAAGCTCTTTTAAAGCCCCATCCAACTAATCAATCATTGGACCCAGATTATGGACTAAAATAAACTGAAATAAACGTTTATATAAAAAGGACACGAAATAAATGATTTTAAAGGACACGAAATGAATTATTTTGGGTTTAAAGGCACGAAAAGAGGAAAATAATTTATGGTTTGGGTAAATGAGATAGAAGTTGGGTTGGTTTTATGAAACGAAAATATGGATTTAAGCACTCTAAGATTAAATACTCAACCCGACCAATAATGGCGGTGAAAGGTTGTTCATCATCGGGTTTGGTTTTGGGGAGACATTTTTAGGTGTCTACAAGCAGGGCTGCACCAAATATTGCTGCTGCAGCTCAAACTTCAAATAGCAACTCGGGAAGTGTCACTCTCACTCAACATCAGTTTGAACAGCTTCTTAAAGCTTTTCCAGGAGGTAGTGGTGCTAAAGACAGTGAAACTGATGAGGAACTGGATAACAGTTTCTCTGGTATGGTGTTCTGTAATGCTGCTGTGTCTGACACAAATGAGTGGATAATAGACACAGGAGCCTCAGACCATATGACATCAAACTTGAGTATATAAATTGACCCTAGAATGTGCAAAGAATGTCTTAAGATCAACTTGCCTACAGGTGATACAACAAGAGTAACTCACCTGGAAATAGTTGAGCTTCCCAGCTCTCTATCTCTGAAGAATGTTCTAATTGTGCCAAATTTTAAGCACAATCTTCTGTCAGTTCAGAAATTGCTAAAGGACTCTCAATGTGAAGTGACATTTCATAAGTCACACTATGTGATCAGAGATATGGTTACAAAAAAAATCAAAGGAATAGGTAAGGCTAGAAATGGTCTCTATTATCTTGCTGACAGTGATGTGAATTTGCTGTCAAGTGAATCTGAGTCAGAGAAACCCTCTCATCCCACAAGTCTTTCTGTAACATCTGAGGCCAAATTGGTGCCATTTTCTATATGGCATCACAGACTGGGGCATGCCTCCTTGGGAAAGCTCAAGCACATTGAGTGTGTGAAAAAGACAATCAAGAAAAATACTCAAGTTTGTGTGACCTGTCCCATGGTAAAGTTCACAAAATTGCCATATGAACTCAGTAAATCTCATGCCTCTGCTCCCTTTGAATTGATTCACATGGACATTTGGGGTCCATAAAAGGTGTGCACTAGAGGAAAATATAGATACTTTCTTACCATAGTTGATGACTATTCTAGAACTACATGGATCAATTTGTTGCAACAAAAATCTGAGTCTTTGTCTAAGCTTGAGATTTTTCAGAAGTATGTGCAAAATCACTTTGACTGCAAAATCAAATTTCTGAGATCTGATAATGCTCTTGAGTTCCATGATCAACACTGTCAGGTATTCTTTGACAAGCTGGGAATTATTCATCAAACCTCTTGTGTTGATAGACCTCAGCAAAATGCTAGAGTGGAGAGAAAACACAGGCACATTCTTGAAATTGCAAGGGCTTTGAGGTTTCAAGCTGGTTGTCCTTGGAATATTGGGGTGATTGTGCCATGACAGTTGTTCATCTTATCAACCGGCTTCCTTCTTCTATCTTGAACAACAAAACTCCATTTGAAATGTTGCTCAAAAAGTGTCCTAACTACTCACATCTTAAAGTGTTTGGTTGTTTGGCATTTGCAGCAAATCCAAGCATTGTAGCAGACAAGTTCAAACCTAGAGGAGTGGCATGTTTGTTTCTAGGATATCCTGCTACTCAGAAAGGATACATATTGATGGAAATAGAAACAAAGAAAATATTTGATTCCAGGGATGTCAAATTTGAAGAAACAATCTTCCCTTTTCAGACCAAGTATTCTAAATCAGACTGAAAACTTCATTAATCTGTTTGTTGATGAACAAATTGAGATAGGTGAAAGTGATGAAACTGCTGCAGAACAAGAACAAATGATAGAACCTCAGCAACACTCTGAAAGTGCTGAAACGGAAAATGATTCTGAGAAAATTCATCATGAAAATCAAATGAGATAAAGTACAAGACCATCTAGACAACCTGTCTGGATGAAAGACTATGTTTAGCTGGGAAAAAGATCAAGACAGCCAATTGCAAATATGGCTGACACAGTTGTAAAACCTAAGTTTTACTGTTTCATGCCAACCCTTGAAGAGAATAGTGATCCAGTTCTGTATAGAGATGCAGTCACTAAACAACATTTGGTTAATGCAATGAATCAAAAAATTGACTAGTGTGAGAAAAATGGGACCTGGATAGTGACTGCTCTACTAAATGGAAAGAAAGTGATTGGTTGTAAATGGATTTACAAAACCAAGTATAAATCCAATGGTGAAATAGAAAAACACAAATCAAGGGTAGTAATTCTTGGCTGTAGACATCAATATGGACTGGATTATGGAGAGACTTTTTCCCCAGTAGCAAAAATGACAACTGTCAGAGCTTTGTTAGCAGTGGCAGCTATGAATGAATGGTTCACATCTCAAATGGATGTAACAAATGAATTCTTGCATGGTGACCTTGAAGAAGAGGTATATATGTCCATGCCTCAGGATATTCTGGAATAGGCAGCAGAATCTCTGTTGATCCTCTGGGAAATAATCCAAGCAAGAACTCAACTCTGGTATGCAAGCTAACAAAATCATTGTATGGGCTCAAGCAAGCTCCCAGACAATGGTTCATAAAGTTGTCCACCTCTCTGGTATCTTTTGGATACACTAAATCAAAAGCTAATTACAGCTTGTTCACCAAAATGCAAGGCAATTCCATAACTGTAGTATTGGTATATGTTGATGATTTGCTGATCACAGGCAACAACAAGGAAGAAATATAAAGAATCAAGAGAATGTTGGCATCTCACTTTCATATGAAAGACCTAGGGTCTTTAAGGTATTTTTTGGGTCTGGAAATTGATCATACTGATCAGGGCATTTTTATCTCCTAGAAGAAATACACAACTGACTTGCTGAGAGAGGAAGGGTGGTTAAATGTGAAACCTCTTAAGCTTCCCATTGACTCTCATTTGAAGCTCTCTGCTGATAAAGGAACACCTCTCCCAGATCCTGCTAGATATCAGCAATTGTTAGGGAAGCTTATCTACTTGAAAATTACTAGACCTGATATATCCTTCATTGTCCAATTGCTTAGTCAATTCATGCATTCTCCCACTTCAACTCATATGCAAGCTGTGAAAAGATTGCTAAGATACCTAGCTGGCACTGTCTCTCAAGGTGTATTACTTGATAGCACTTCTGCAGCAGAATTGGCTGCATATTATGATAGTGACTGGGCCAGTTGCCCAACTGCTAGAAGATCCACAACAGGTTACTGTATCCTGCTGGGAAAATCTCCTATATCTTGGAAAGCAAAGAAACAGTCACTGGTGGCTAGATCTTCTGCTGAAGCTGAGTATAGGGCAATGGCTCTTACATCATGTGAAGTGACTTGGATAAAGTCTTTGCTTAAGGACATGGGCATCAAATACTTAGGGCCAGTACTTATGCATTGTGATAATCAAGCAGCATTGGCTATAGCTGCTAACCCAGTGCTGCAATGAAAGAACAAAGCATGTTGAAAATTGACTGTCACTATGTGAGGGACATGGTTAACTCGGGGGATTTAATCACTCAACATGTATCTTCTCATAATCAACTGGCTAACATACTCACAAAAGGTCTGTCCATCAAGCAACATCAAGCCATATTGCGCAAGCTGGGTGCTTTCTCCTCTGCCAAACACAGCTTGAAGGGGGGTAATAAAGGATATTACAACCATTTTCTCAAGAGTATCAAAGCTGTTATACAACAATGATTATCTAGATATTTTTATGCCTTTTTTATTGTCCTATAATTGCTAGGAAGGTTCCTTATAGCTGTTATTTTGTTTTCAGTGTAAGGATATTCTCCTTTTTTGTTTTTGGGTGTACATAAGTAGACTGTACTGCTCTTCTACTAATCAATGAGAAATGAATGAACATTCCCTCTGCTGATATTTAGCCCTTGCATTCTCCTCTGTCCTCTTACATAATCGATCTTATTTTACTCTTTAAAATATATTTGCAGCTTTATAATTTATTAAAACTCTCATTTTATAAAAATTTTAAAACTCTTTTTAAAATCAATACAAAAAAACTAAATCGAAAGCTCTCAGCCGGCAACCACCAAATAAACTCCTCCCAAGCGGTGTTGACAATCAATTTTAGTTACAATATTGTAAGGGAAGTTAATTAACTAGTTAGCTATAAGCTAGGGTGTAAGATGTAACATAAAATTATGAATTCTAAGTGTTTAGCTCAATATTAGCCCTTACTTTTTAGATTTTAATTAATTCTAAATTTTAAAGTTTATAAGTTTAATTTTTAAATTTAAATTCGTAAAGATTAATTAATATTTGTCATTGAATTTAAATGATCTGAATTTTAAAGAGTAATAATTATGTAGCGTTTTCTACAAATTCTCTTTCTAAAAATCACAAATAGACCAAGATCAATACTATGTAATAATAATTACATATAATTGTTACAAAAAACCAATTCAATACTACATAATTATTACTCTTTAAGATTCAGATCATTTAAATTCAAGGAAAAATTGCGGAAAATAATACAACCTTTGTGCGGTTCATTTATAATAATACAACCTTTGGATTAATTCTTAATATTATAAACTTTTACCCCAATCTATTTTAATCAGGCAAATTTACGAGGCAACCTGTTACAAGAGGTAAACCGATGACGTGGCAGTAATACTTCGTACGTGTCATTGACCGTTGGACAACTTTTTCAAAATCCCTTTCTTTACTTATATACCCTGTTCCTTCACCATTTTTCCCCAAATTTGTTGCTTTCCCTTTCTTTTTTCTTGCTCAAATTCGCACTCTCCCCTTCAATTACTTTGATTTAATTGACATGTCTGGGATAAGGCAACCATCCCAATCGGTTGGATGTGGAAGCACAACCTATTCGACAAGGGGGGCTAACTCAAGAATTTGGTGTTCATGTGGGAAGTATGCAGCTGTGAGGACAGTGAAGAATGGTCCAAATATGGGGATGAGATTTTATGGTTGCCCCTTATGGCCAGTAAGTTTTATTTTAATTTTTTTTTTTTAAAATTAACTTAATTTTTGAGAATGTTGTACACTTACTCTGATTTTGGGTATGATTTAGGATACTCAATGTGAGATGTTTAAGTGGGTAACTACTAGTACTGACTTGGAAGATCTTGAACTAAAAATTATGGAGAAGGATACTGAGATTTGTGAGTTGGAATATGAGAAGAAATTGAAGGAAGACAAGATTAAGAAGCTGCAATTGAAGAAGGACAAGTATTGTGATGCACTTTCTGGGATAAAGACAGAAATGGAAGAGCTGAAGACTCAGATCAGGAAAAGGAGGAAGAATGAGAGAAGAATGTATTTGATGTTGTTGTTTTCATGGATTGTGTTTGGTTTTTTTTATGTTTATGGTTAGGTGACTGATGTAGTAGTACTTTAAGTAAACTCTTTGTATGAGTTGTGATAACTCTAGATAAACAAGATTATATATGTTATTTATTTGCAATTTGATAAGCTGAACTTAGCCTCTTCATTTGGAAATGTTAACTTTTGCAAAATGAGTAAATAAACTTGTCTCAACAAAATACATAAGTATTAATTAATGTTGTTCCCACAAAAGACATAATGTTGATCCCACAAAATACATAGACCATATCAAGTGACTTCCAACCAAAATTACAACTTGAATCCGATTCATAAGTAAGCACATAAGTTCATAATATGTTCACAAAGTTAAACAGAACAGATGCTGCTATGCTGATGCTACTGTGTGAGCTGGTGGGCTGTGGAAGCTTGGCTGGACTGGGTTCCTAGCTGACTTGGTTGCTGCTTCCTATGCCTCCCTTTGCCTCTTGTTGGAGCAGGCTGAGTAAAAAAAAAAGGAAACACATTAAGCCAAAGATAACTTAGTAGTAATCACTTAAAAAAAAAAGGGAAAAAGTGTACCTTGGGCATCAAAGTTATGCCATCTGCAGCAATTATAACACCAACACCAAGTGGAAGCTGATTTCTGCCCCTTCCCCTGCCTCTTCCAGGACCCACTCCCCTTTGGCTGCTACCACCTCTAGCACCTCTGCCACCCAATATAACCCTCCCCCATCTGCCTAGCTGAGTTAGCTGAGCTGTGTTAGAGTGGTGCTGAGTCTGAACTGTTGAACCAGATGCTGCAGGTGTTGCAGATGCAATGATGGAAGTAGAAGCTTCATTCACTGTCTCCTTCTTGGGCCTGCCCCTTGGTTTTTTAGGTGCTGGCTCTGAGACAGATGTTGTACCCTTGTCAGGGCATCTCCTCTTGTTATGTCCCTTGGTTTTGCATATTGAACAGGTCATCTCCATTCCTGTTCTTGACAGTGTCTCTGGTTGCTTTGGTTGCTCAAAAGGATCCTTGATCCTATTTTTTCTTGGTCTACCAGGACCAATTTTAATGGGGGGGAATCCACATTGCATTTCACCCTAGGCCAATGTCTGTCTCCTTCTAAGGGTGGTATGGCCCCAGCATAGGCAGTGAGATACACCTCTTTTCTGAAACACTCATCAACATACAGCTCAGCCACTTGGTTTTTGAAGAAAATGCAGGCTACCGCATGGCAACAAGGTATACCTGTCATGTTCCATTTTTTACAGGTGAAGCTCTTAGCTTGAAGGTCTACAGTCAGCATATCAAGAATATATCTCACATTGAACTTGGTCTGGGAGGAAGGCATAACATCACACTCAGCTGCCTTGGTTTTTTCTTTTTCTAGTTTACTTTGTATCCTAGGGCACAGTATTGAAGCAGATTTCTCCATCTCAGTTCTTTTCTTCACCAACCTTTGCATAAGAGCAATCCTAATATCCTCAAGCATGCATATAAGGTGTTTAGTCCTTGCATTAATAATATAGCCATTAAAAGTCTCATCCATATTATTGGTTATTGCATCTGAGTTCACTGAGGTGTCTAGAATTGCTCTACAAAAGACTTTGGGATTATAACTCCTAAAGGCAACCTCAGCATCAGGGTTAAGCTCTTTCAACTCCTCTAATGCCTCCTCATAATCAGCACTGTTATAGGACTCAGCTATCTTCCAAAAAAGAAGTTTCATTTCATCTCCCTTAAAATTCTTATGCCAATGGGAGAATATGTGCCTAGCACAGTGTCTGTGCTCAGCACTAGGTAGCATTGTAGCTACTGCATGCAGTATGGCCTTCACAAACACAAACAGGAACAACAAGAAATATTTCAAATTTCAGCCTACATCACAAACCAACAAGAATACAAACCAACAACAACAAAACCAAGGAAAAGAACATATAAACAACAACACACATGGCTACATAACATATAAACAACAATAGGGTATAGAACATGCAACATATTATACAGTGGCGTATCCAGGAATTCCGAACTGTGGGTTCGGAATCTTAAAAAATAAACGATGCTCATATATTAATTAAATATTCAATATATAAGTTCAATTTTTTTTATTACAAATGGATGGATTAAACGGTTACAAAATAATAAATAAAAAAAATCCTACAAAAGCATTCTTCGAGTTTTATACTTTAAAAGCATGCTAAAACATTACTACTTCTATAAATGATAAATCTATAATTATATTGCAAAAAATCAATATTACACGAAAAACAAAAATCCCAAGTCCCCAATAAACACAAATTTGACAATGTAAAATTTTTCTAATTATCAATTAAAAGACCAAGTAAAAATTTTAAATTCTAAGTTTCTAAATTCAATTTGTACGTCAACAATATATCCAAACTAATTAAACAAATCAATAATTAATCTAATTATCACTAATTTACAAACAAATAAAGATTTAAGAATTAAGAGGAGTAGAGGAATAAGAGGACTATTGAAACTTATACGTACTAAAGGATAAAAACAATAATAATATTAGATAAGTATGAAGCAAGTAAAATAAAGAACTCAATAATATTTCTTCATGCTTAATTCACCAAATACAAGAGCCGTATATGTAGGCTAACAAACAACACATAATAAGCTAAAAAACTGAAAGTATAATGCCATGATTAAACCCACTAAATAAACTCATTAACTTCTAAATTCATTTGACTCTCTAACTTAACAAAATGACCAACATACTACTCCTAAAATTATTGACCCAACTATGGACTAACTCATGAAGAACAAAGGAAGAAATCAAAAGGGGAAAAAAATAAATAAAAAAAATAAAAAAATGAAGTTGGCTAGTCTCGAACCCATGATCAAGAGGAGCCTCACTACTCTATTAGTCACTCCCTTACCAATGTGCCAGAGTTACATATTAGTTTATTTAATTCACAAAAATTTGTTTTAACCTTATTTTTTTTTCTTTTTTTTTAAAAAAATAAAAATCAAAACTTATAACTTTTTTTTCAAAAAATCTTGGGGTTCAATGAACCCCCTTGAACCCCCCCCCCCTAGATCCGCCTATGATATTATAGTGGCAATAATACAAAGAACCAACAAGAATGAGTTTGGAAAGTATACCTGATGTTCATCTGATA